TGGATTGAGCATATTTACAGACAATCCCATTTTTTTTTTTTTTTTTTTTTTTTTTTTACAATTCACAAAACAGCTCAACAAATCAGACCTTCGAAGAAGCTGTAGATTCTATAAAAAGTCTCCATGACACAAGACAGCCCTTCTGTTGATGTTTGCTTTTGGTAGATGTGATGGAAATTAAGTTTTTAAACGTATTCAATGGACCAAAATAGGAATAAATGAATAAGATAAGTAGTAATAAAATGAGAACATCCCTCTGGTTCCTCCTCTATCAATCCTGGATAACTCAGTTGTTCTGCACATCCTCTCTGTATGTGGTTGGTCCTTTCTTGGGTGGCTGATCTTTTGAAAAATAAAATTGTTTTGTCAAATTTTAACCTACTAAATGTGCTTTTTAAAATTTTAAAATTCATATACTGTACAAAGCTTGTTTTTTTGCCAGCAACAGTGAAGAATGTTTTACTCTAAAGAAGTAGACCTTACTTTTTATACATTTGTTTTTAATTTTACCTCTGAAATTGGATCATTTATTGACTTAATTTCTACCAGGCTCCCTCTGCGTTTATACTGCCATAAGGACAATCAAGGTTGGAAGATCTGATTTTGGTGTTTCTTCGTGTCACAATTTATCATTCCTGCACCACATGACTCTGATTTTTTACATCATGATGTCTTCAGATAACAATCACCACAGGCAGAAGGAATCTCTACAGCAAAATGGAGATAAAACCTGCAGATAAACGACCCTGACTGGAAGATTAGCCTCTTTACATTTTTCATGCATGATTTAACAGGAAAAAAAGACAATTGTGCATTAAAATAGGATTAAACAACGAGAAACTCTGTATTACGTAGTTTTAACTCACAGTCTAGACCAGAGGTAACCAATTAAAAATTAGTTGGATCCGAATAAATAAAATCATCAACGAGTAAAGGTCCGGAGACATTTTTAATTATAGTCTGTTACCTTAAACAGAATTTGACACTGAAACAAAATGAGGTTTTAATGCATCCATGTTATACATTGACTTAAAAAAAAGGAAATAAAAAGAAAAAATAGAAAAATTTTTCCTTTCAAAATCTAAAGGGTTTTTTGAAGTAGAGAACAACAGTTTTTTTCTTTCTTTTTTCTGTCTTAATGTTCACAGTGGGCTTTATGCTGCCCTGCAAGGCTTTAAACCTGGGTTTGAATGGATACTAAGCCATTCTAAAGCACATATCAAGGTGCTCATTCTGAGTCTGGATCCATATTTATTTTTGATTCTGTTCATGGTGGAGAATCCTGCTTCACAGCAGCAGGTTGAGCCAAACATCCTCTAAATGTTCAGGGTCATCTTTGAGCACCATTTCACTTTTCTTTCACCAGTTCACCACAGTTCTTCCAGCAGTCCACACTTTCTCTGCTCTCTTTTTCTCATCTTCTTCTCCTTCTTTCCCATCGCCCGGCTTGCCACAGGTTTGCCTGCTGTGTCTAAAAGTAGTAGCAGCAGCGACCCAGACTGACAGCAGCTCATTGGATCATTTGGATCACGTGCAGCCTGGTACCGGACGCTCTGGAGGGCTTTACCGTATTAACAGGAGAAGCGGCGCAAGTGAAATTAGACACTGCTGTCGGACAACATGCAGTTATTTATAAATGTTTTAAATCAGGTAGGGTCCGGATTAACCAACAGGTGGAACCGGATCGGCACTGCGGTCCGCTAATCCGTGACCTCTGACCTAGAACATCACAATAGTTCTTGAAACATTAATGCACCATTTAAGCCACTTATACCATATTACCACACAGAAAATATTTGAGAACAAATGTTTATTTTCATTACAAAACTCACAAAATTTATCACGTGTCAGATTTTGTTCTGATTTGTTCAGATTTTGTTCTTTCCTCTTCGTCGTCACTTCTGGTCGACTCCGGACTGTAAAAAAAAAAAGAGACAAATACGAGAATTCTGAGTCAGAATTGTCTCTCATTACATCTTTAATTAGTAAAGAAAATTTGCATTTAAAAATAATAATAATCTAATAATTATATTGATGTAGTTTGATATCGATAAGTTTCTAGATCATGACTTTAGGCTCTTTATCAGATCTTGTTTCTCAGGAAGCTTATCTGATATGTAGATATTATTTTTGCTCCAATGTTGAAAATATTTTATTCAGATGAGTAGAATGTAATGAGTACATATGAAATGTTGTATTGAGAAGACATGCTTCAGGGTTAAAGCTGATGTGATGTGCTGAGTTTCCTCAAGCATCATATAGGCACAGTGAGACACTGAACCCCAGAGAAATCTCTTCTGGAAATGTTTTAGCAAGTAAACAACATCAAAACATGCCTGACTGGTTCTATGGCTGATTGTTGTGATGTCAGAAACCAAATAAGTTATTTATTTTGTTTGTATGTTTGTGCCTGTCTCCTATAGACACGCTTGAGCCCACCTACCAGCAGCTGCAGAAGATGAAGCTGGACAAGAGTCCGTTCGTGGTTGTGTCTGTCATCGGCCAGGAGCTGCTGACACACGGTCACCACGGGGCCTCGGTTGTAGCGCTGGAGGCGGGGTTGAAGATTGGCACTTGCTCTTTAAAGCTTCGTGGATCGGTCTTCTCTGCTCTGAGCTCAGCGTATTGGAACCTTGGAGATGTGGAGAAAAGCATGGCTTACATGCAGCAGGACCTGGAAGTTACCAAGACTCTAGGTATGGAGGAACTAAAAGGATGAATGGTGTGGAAAAGAAAACCGCTGCAGTGACTAACGTATGGTTTGCTCCTGTCACAGGTGACCAGTCGGGCGAATGCCGTGCTCATGGGAACCTTGGCTCTGCGTTGTTCTCTAAAAGCAACTACAGAGAAGCGCTGGCTCACCACAGGAACCAGCTGGTACTGGCCATGAAGCTCAAGGACAGAGAAGTATGTCTGCATCCAGTTTAAAGTCTTTAAAAAAATGACATTTATATGGAGATAATTTTGTTGCAGTATTTTTGCAAGCAAAAAACACATTATATAAATTGAAATTTAAAAAAAGAGAATTGAAACACAGAAATAATTTTTTAAGAACTTTCCAATAGAGCTACACCTATTAATTATTCTTATTAGATTATTCAATTCATGTATAGTATTTTTTTGAGTAATCTAAAGAATACAACATTTCTAAATAACCAAACATTTGTAATATAGAACAAAAACTTTATTGCACATTTTAAATGAATTGCATATGGTATATCTATATAACTGTTTGTGTATAAAGAAAGAATTGGATGTGATTGTTAAAATTCTACTTTTTCTTTAAAAAACATTTATAGTTTGCAGAGTTTTGTCTCAATTATTGCTATAAGTAGTTATTTTTGAGGCATTATTCTAGGTAAGAATTTTATTCAGTTTGAAGAAATTAGTTGACAGTTTTTGTTAATTGTTCAAGGATATAAAATTTATAAATCTTTATTTCAAATTTTGGTCTCTGAAGTGATGGATCAACACAAAGAAGTGCCTAACTATTAAGTAAAGGAAAACAGGTTGTGGGGTATTTGAATAATTTTCCCGAGAACAATCTATAAAAAGTGCTAAACATATGGATAAAGGCCCTCTGTGTCATAACTGTGGTAAAAAATCTTTTTTCAATTCAATTTACTGGAATTTATTTATGTAGCGCAAATTCACAACACATGTCATCTCATTGACTCAAAGGCGATCTCTCACGCCAAGCATGCTTGTAGCGAATGTGGAGAGGAAAACTCCCTTTTAACAGAAAGGAACCTCCAGCAGAACCAGGCTTAGTGTGAGTGGCCATCTGCTGAGACTGACTGGGGTTCATGGAGACAGAAGCAGACATAGAAAAAGAAGCATAGATACAAAAGATAACTGTCAACCAGCTCCACAGGCGGCCCCGTCCAGGAAACAGACAGCCTGGCAGACGAGCTCAGAGCCAGCTCCCATGTCAGAGGATGAAGAGAGCACACAGATAGTCAGAGAAACAGGACTACACTGAAAAACAGGCCAGCCCCAACATCTTTAAATAATGGTATTGATGGCAGCAGCACAGCTGATATTTCTCTCCAGGATGGAGTCACAGCTAAACAGGAAGAGACCAGATGAAGCTACTATGATGAGAAAAGCAGAGCATAAAGTTAGAGATTGAACTAACAAATACTGCAGAATGGGAGAATAGAAAGAGGATGAAGCAGACTGATGAAAAGTGGTTCCTATGTCCTCCAGCAGTCTAAGCCTATAGCAGCATAACCATACAGATAGCAAAATATATCCTGAGCCACTCTAACTATAAGTTTGATCAAAAAGGAAGGTTTTCACTTCAACGATGATTAATGATTGAAAAAACTAGAATATTTTATAAACTCATTCTGTTTAAGCGTCTCCATTTTTTCTCTTTCCTTCCTGCAGTGTTTGTACCAAGATTAAAATTAACTTTAAATTACAGTTTCCTTTTACTTCATAATTATGCACTTGATTGTGTTGGACTATTTAAAAAGTCCTGACAAGTTTAAGGGGAGTAAATACTTTTGAAAGAGCCTGTTTAATGGTAGAACTTTTGGAAATGTAGGATATATTTGTTAGATTCATGTTGGTCTTTATTTTTTTCCTCCTCATTAGTAAAACAGAAGTTTTTCTAACCTTCATCCCCAACGGCAATTTTTTTATGATCCTGGATTAGGCTGATTTATAATTAATAATTTTTAGTACTCTAGGCTCCCTGCTGCGTCTCTTGGTTCCTCTAAAGGAGAAAAACAATCAATTTTCTTCAGACGTCCATCTGATTTTCTCCTCTGTTGTTTCCATAGAGAAAAAGATTATAAGCATGAATTGTTTTCTTAGACCAGGAGATGTTGCCTTGCTTACAGAGCACAGAGGATGAAACCCTGAAAAACAAAAAAGCAGCAAAAAAAAGTATAATCCATGAAAAAATAATCTATATCTGCATTAAGAATGTTAGTTTGTGATTTCAAGAATAAGATCAGTTTTTATTATATTTTCCAAACAATAAGGAGAAAAAAAAGAGAGAATTTTACAGGGATCTCTGACCTTTTTGGCAAAACATTTTGAAGGTCCCATATAATGCAAAATTCACTTTATAAACAGTTTGTAACAATCATTTATGTGTCCTTAAGCCTGTGTAGGAGGTTCAAAATGAAAAAAAATCCTTTCATTTCTACCTCCCTTTTTCCATCTCTTAGCTACTGTGGGTTCAAAAGGCTCAGTTCAAAACACATTCTCCTTATGATGTCATTAGGGGAAATAAACTGTCCTAAGTAATCTGTAGCAGCTCATTAAGGCCTTCATCTAATGTACGATTCCACACTCCTAGGATAGTTTTACAAACTCTGGCTGCTTGTTGCGGGTTGTAGGAGTGAGAAAAGGCCAATACTGCTCGTCCAGAGGAAGCTTGAATAACAGACAAAACTTTTTTGGTAAAAGGTTAATGCTCATGATGAATCCCTGTAGTTTCATCGTACATTGTGAGCAGTAGCTGCGTACAACGATTGAAAAAAATCGCACAGTGTATGCCCGGCTTTAACCAGAGGGTGTGGACTCAAAAACCTACAACACAGCAATAGAGTTGATTCATTCCTGCTATCATTTCACCCCCCACCACCATGCAGGGGACCAAAATATCTCACCTGGTCACCTGCCCCATATTGACTCCCCTTTCAGAGGCATAGACCAGTATCGGGTATTGCAGGCTGACAAAAGATCTCAAGGACTCCCCCTTCCTAAGGGGCGGAGCTGTTCTTCAGGTTCAATTCGCATGTTTTCTAAGCCAAAACAAGGCTTTCTTTGGGCTACTCTATAAAGCTTTAACCTCAACAGTAATTCTGACATTTTGAATTAAAAAAGGTTTCCTGGATGGGAAGCAAAACTTCTTCAACTTTGGAATCAAAGTTTTTTTTCTTTTATTTTTTTTAAATGACTATGACCTGGATGACTGAGGATCTTCACCACCAATCAGAGGGGAATTAGGACTGGTTGCTTAAAGATTCCTCCTCTTATTGTTTTTTTTAGGTGCTTGGGGATTGGCTACATTGTGCTAAAAGGGGTGTGGTTTTAGATCTAAGATTAGCATCATAATTTAGATATGAATTCAACATTTATGGTGATTATTTTTTCCCTAAATGTTAAAAAAGCATTTAGTGTAAGGAAACTATGCTATAGTAAGAGGACTGTGAGTGATTCTTTTTTTTTTTTACTTTCTACATTCAAAATAGTCTGTACAGATATCTAAAGTTAAGTGGGTTCAAAGCCCTATTATTTTACCCACTTTAGTTGTTTTATTTTTACAGAAACATCTAATTCCTCATTAAATTGATTAAATGTGTTTCCTCTGGCCTGGCTGTTTTATTTCAGCTATATTTCAGTTGAATTGCAGTTTAGGTTCAGGAGCTTCACTTCCGTTACCGAAGGGAAGCACTCGGCACACAGTGATCCGGGGATTTATCTCTTAAACACCTGCCAAGAAGAAGAATAAATGTTTAAGACAAGTTATTTAAATAAAAGCATTGAAACAGCAGCTCAGTGGATCAAAATGTTTTCCTCTTTTTTTATTTGTGTGTCACATTGCCGCATCCATCAACATTTTATATCAAATAGATTTGTCAGATTGGCACAGACTGAATCTGAGGATGCAGTGAGATGGAACATAGTTGTTTTTCTATGTTTTTTTTGTTTTTTTCAGTGCTGCATGGGGTGACAACTGTGTAGTTTACTGTCGTTTATTGCACTTCCCATCCTGAGGTGGCTCACACGTGGCCATCAACAGAAATCTATATCCTCCCACTGTGCGTTTGCTCTGCTGTTGTACTTGTGTTTATCTGTGCAGCAGGATAGGGTTTCCGGAAAGCGTGGATCCAAACAAAGACTTGGCCTGCAGATAGCTGATATTTAACCAGCAGTGGGTGACAGGAAAATGGGGAACAGCTCCATCAGAAGATTCAGTCTGGAGAATCCGCCGCAGTCAGAGTTAAGCCCAGTCACTTATTAGACTCAATTCAGTGTAGAACGTTTAAGTAATCAATTGGCTTTATTGAGCAAATCTGAAACATAAAGATGTTTTTTTTCTGGTTTGCATAATCTCAAATCAATTGTGATAAATAAAATTCTTAGCCTTAGAGTATAGCATCATAAGAACATTGTGTGGGCAGCTCCATAAAGTAGGGAAAACATATTTAAATGTCAAACCATTCTGGCTTAAACGTGTATG